AACTTCCTCATGTGAAGGAAGATTGTATCTATGTCTACCACGACCCTCAAGCAATGGCATTTTGACAACAGAAATTGGTTGACCTTCTATAGCAGCTTGATAAGTTTCTGCATCTTCAACTTTCTGCCATGTTTTTAAATGCAAGTGCAAATGGGTTCTTCTGATTAATTATAATCTGCAAGAGTTCCATTAACTCGCGTATGCAACAATTATTTGGCTCTATTCGAAAGTTTAAAGCAGTATTAGGATCACAAACATATAATTGACAATATGCAGGTGGATCACCTTGCTGATGCCTTAGATTACTAATACAATGCATAATTTGTCCACTAATTCTATAACAGGGTGGACCACGATTTGATGGAGGTTCTATTGTGGCTATGAATGAAGCAAAAGATAGACAGGCATTATAATTTCTTATGTGCTTAAAAAATTTTGATTCAAAGCACGATCAACATGGTTGCCTATCATTAAATTAAGCATTAGTTGTGGATAAGGTGAAAGTGGAGGTAAGTCAACATTTAAAAAAATTTTAGCACCACAATACTGACAAATATGGTTCATTTCTCCTAGGTAATTACTCTCTATAAAACTATTAATTCTTGCTATGCAATGCATTCCACGCCTAAGTAATACTCGTCTAGCTTCATTTCTTTCATTTTGGCGACAATTAACTTCTTCGCATCTAGCCTCATTCTTTTCATTTTGGCGGCGATTAACTTCTTTACGTCTAGCCTCATTTCTTTCATTTTGGCGACAATTAATTTCTTCTCGTCTAGCCTCATTTCTCTCATTCAGACAATTTCTTCTAATTTCAGCTCTTAAGTTACTTGACATAATTTAGAAATCGTAAATGTTTGATAAAACTTTATTTGATTAATTTTTTGCTATACTAATCTAAAATGAACAAACACAATAAAGTGCTATTTATCAGTTTTAACTCTATATAACTATGTATATAGCGTTTAATAAAATTTATGAACAAAAGTTATAATTAAACTGGTTTGAAACAGAGAACAACAAATTTATCATAGATTTAAAACTAAGTACTATATTGTAAGTAATAAAACAGTATTTTTTGAAACAAATTTAAATTTTAATTATTTTAAAAGTAATTTTAAGGTAATCATAACAAAAAATTAAAAAGTAAAATTAGTTACAAATTAAATAATGGCATGCCAACTATTGCAAATATGTTGCATCATATAGACCACATGTGGCTGACAATATATATATATATATATATATATATATATATATATATATATATATATATATATATATATATTCAGGGTGGCCCATAAGTTTTGTCCACCCGTTATGACTACTCATCGTTTTTACTGAAAAAGAAAAGACAACATACGATCTTATTGATATGTCTTTGCAAGTTGTTTACTAGAGGTTGTTTACTTTTACGAGGTGGAAAAAGTTTGAGAAATTTCGATTTTACACTTGACCAGAGGTTTGTAAAAGTTATAAATTCAAATTATAAAAAAATTTGTGCTATATAAAAATAGACCTAGAAAAGTAGTGAATGTATTCATTGCAAGATTTTCTGTTAAGTTTTGTTAAATTGCATCTGTCTAACACATTTCAGTTTTAAACCAGCTTACTTTGAGGTTATTTTTTTGGCAATTTGAGTTCTTTGTTGTCTCCAGTAGGCCCAAAAGTTTTGTCCACTTTAGGTTAAGAGGACAATGTGCTATTTTCTATATTTTCTGTATCTGCATCTGTATTTTTAGATGGGTAAAGTTATTGGAAAATCAAATTTAACAGCATCACTGAAGAAACGCATTGCTGAGTTAGGTAAATTAGGAAAGTCTAAGGCTGAAGTAGCTGCTGCAATTGGCTGCAGTGAGAAAAGCGTTCAGCGATACTGGAGAAAACCTGTTAATACAAACTTTAATGAAAAGAAACGCTGTGGTCGTCCAACTGTGTTGTCACCAGCATCAAAGAAGTTAAAATATAATCATAACCAGTGAAATGAAGGACAAGTAGGGTTCATCAACAAGAAGTTGTGCGAAAAAGTTAAACTTTTCTGAACGATACATTAAACGTAAAAAACAAATTTCTCGTTCAACAGTGCAACGTTTTGTTCAACATCAACCATGGGGTAAAGTGGCTTACCATAAACCAATAAAACCACTATTGACTGAAAAAAATCGAAATGATCGCTTAAAATTTTGTGATTGGTTGGAACAAAATAGTTACCTTCAAGATGACCATGTTGGTAGACAAAAACGAGGCCATGTTCTGTGGACAGACAAAAGCCCTGTTGAGTTATTTCCAGTTCCAAATCGTCAGAATATGCGAATACGGACCGATGACAAATCAAAGATCACTCCAGCTGTTCGTCCTAAGTTTGGATTGAAAATTATGGTGTGTGGTGGTATGTCACGGTATGGATTGACTGAATTGGTTGTTGTGCCAGAGAACAAGACAGTTAATGCTGATTATTACATGAATCACATATTACCAAAATATGTTGAGGCTACTACAA